TATCAGACCCCTATGGGATAATCTTCCTCTGTCCTCGAGGTCCCCTATGGGGTAATTGTCTTCTGTCCTATCAGACCCCTATGGGATAATCTTCCTCTGTCCTCGAGGTCCCCTATGGGGTAATTGTCTTCTGTCCTATCAGACCCCTATGGGGTAATCTTCCTCTGTCCTATGGGACCTCTATAAGGTAATCTCTCTCTGTCCTTGAGGACCCCTATGGGCTAGTCCTCCTCTGTCCTCGGGGACCCTTGTAACTTGGATTTGACTCGAGAGCAACGGGATTTTGTTCTGGTTTTACGTGGCACGGCCCGTTGGTGCTCGTCTGGTAAGCAAACGTAGCAACACAGGGGAAGGAAAGCCGGGTGACCCGCTTCCTTAAAGGGGACAGCCCCAGGGAACCGTGTAGCTCGCAGGGTCACCACGAGTCAGCACCGACGCGGCTGCGCAGGGCAACAGACAGCGTTGTGTATGAAATCATTCAAACAAGCAACCATTTTCCTCACTCTATCCACAACTCTGCTATTTTCCATCCCATTTTCTTTGTAAAATGTGTGAGCCAACAGCAATGCCACAACTAAAGCGTGCTTGTCACCTGTCACAGAAGCCTCCGTGAGCATCTTCCCTTTTGAGGGACAGGAAGGCCAATGACTTGTTCCTCCACAAAGGGCCGCGACACCTGCCAGGTGACCCTACCGACCCCAGGCTGCTCGGGAAGATGTGCTGATCCACCTGAGTCCACGCCCCGCAGTGTCTGCTCCGCCACAAGCCCCTCCCCTCGACATCTTGTTCTTTTTCTTCCCAACTAGACGACGAGGGAGCCTTTGAATATTTTTGGGATCTGGTGAGCCACCAGGAGCTGCGGTTCCTGCTGTTTGATGAAGAGGAATTGAGAACACTCGCAGAGGAGGCCAACTTGTCCAGGTACCTCCACAGCACCCCAGGAATGCCCCCCAGGTCTGCCAGCTGGGCCAGTTGCCTCCAGGCAGTGTCCTGTGGTTGGGGTGGAGGAGGGTCCTGCCGCTCAACAATCCATGGGGAAGCTTTCCTCCCTGTCACTCGCTGGCAGGGAAGGGCCTTAGCTGAGGAGGGATGCAACCTACTGGGGCTGATGGTCACTGTGTGATGTCGGTCAAGTGGTCAAGTTACTTCACCAGGCTCCACCCATTTCCTCCCCTGCTGAGTTCGACGGTGAGGACGGAGAACTGCCACTTTGGGACTGAAAACCTTAAATCTTTTAAAGGCTGCAGAGTGACTAGTAGGTTTGAGCCACTAAGCTTATGATTGGCAGCTCAGTAGGTAACCAACTAGCCACTATGGGCCCCCATACTGCTACTGGGGGGACCCTTAATGTCTCATTTTTACTCCAGTCTTTCTTTTACTTCTCAAACCCGTGTATTGACCCTACATCCACCCATCGTACAATTCAGTGGTTCCATCGTATCAAGAGGAGCAGGGCAGCCATGACCACAGTCAATCTTAGGACTTTCTCTTCTGCCTTGTACTCATTGTCATTAGTGTTTTTATTATTATTACTTCATTGTGGCAAAAATATACACAACAATACCATGTGTTTATTGTAGTTCTCTTCACCGATATACAGGAATTCGAATAAATTCTGCTTAAGTTTGTATGCTTTGCTGAATCCCTCAATTGTTCCCAGTAGGCTTTTTTTGTGGTTTGTGGCTCTTATTATGTTGAGTAATTTCCCTTCAACTCCTATTTTGTTGAGTGATTTTATAAAGATGGGTGTTGAATATTGCCAAATGCCTTTTCTGCATTTATAGCTGCAATCATGTGGGTTTTCTTCTTTATCTTGTTTAAGTGGTGGATTCCATTGATGGTTTTTTGAATATCGAACCATCCTTGCATCCCTGGAATGAATCTTACTTGGTCATGGTGAATTATTTTTTTAATAGATGTTGGATTCTAATGGCCAAAATTTTGCCGAGCATTGCAGCATCTGTGTTCATGAGGGATACCGGTCTATAATGTTCCATCTCTGTGGGGTCTTTGCCTGACAGCGGAATGGCTACTAATACATGAGAGAGAGCAAGAAACAATTGTAAGAGCAGTGTCAGCTTTCGGTTTTATGAGAATTAGAAACAAAGGATTGACAAGTGGAAAAGAAAGAAAAAGAGAAGAGCAGGCAGAAGGGGCTATGAAATAAAAGTGTAGATACCAAATTAAAGGAGGAAAGGACAGGCGCCCCCAAAATTAAAAATAAAAATAGGAAGATAATACTCGAGTAAGAAGCAGAAGCGCTGCCCCTGTCTGTTGACTTGTAATGTGGGTGAGCAGTGCCCTGGAGCTCTGACTCTGGTGTGGGTCTCACTTGTGGATATGTTGAGGGGCTAGAAAAAGAGCAAATTGAAATAAAAAAAGTAAAGTAATAACTTGTTTGTCCTTACGTAGATCAGCAAATGAGGAAGTCCTCGTTAGGGATGAGCTATAAGAGCAGTGCATGACTTCGTTTTAAAGAGGGGGAGGGGATAGGAATGATAGAGCACACAGCAACAACAATGTCAACAAAAGAGCCGCTGAGGTCTTGACCTTGTCCTGGGGGGAAATCAGGACTGTGCACAGCAGAGGTATTCTGGACAGTTGGGGAGAGTGTCTGGTAGTCTGTTGTTTTACTACCTTGTGATCTTTCAGCATCTCAGGGTGGGGTTGAGATCTGGCTGAGGGAATGATTGTGGTGTCTGGTAGGACTAAGGGTCCTGTGTTCTTATGATTTAGGCTCTTATCTAAAAAAATAGATCTCCGGTGGATCAGGTTGGATGGGACGAGCTTCACTCCTTTTGGATTTTGGAGGTGACCAAGGGGAGGTCGGGGAGAGGGTCTATAACTGCCATCTACCTAGGTGGTCTAGGAGGGAGGGATGCAGCAATAACCTACTCAGAGGGCAGGTTGTTATCTAAGCAGCTTGGGTGCTGCCAGGGTTTTATGCCTTGTGAGACAGCTGACTGATTGCTCAGTCTATCCAGTATCTGGGCCCTGGGGCTTATGGCCCTTGTCTCAGGCACCAAGCCCCGGCCTGTGCTATATAAAACCACTGGTGCAGTTTCCCCCATATGCCTGGGTGTCTGCTGGGCCAGGAGTACCTTTTTTGCACCCTCCTTCCCACCCCACCCCACTCAGCTCCCTTCCCCTGTCTCTTAATGCTCTACTTGAATTATTATGTTAATACCTTGCTAATAGGTCTGGTGAGTATTGTCTGAACAAAGGAATAAGACCAAAAATAAAAAGCCCCCAAGTGGTTGTGTTTTGGGGTGTCTTAAACTGGGCCAGGCAGAGCTGTGTCTATGGGACTGGGGATTAGTTTTACTGAGTGGGGCTGGAGAGTTAGCTTATTTACTATTTACACCCGTTCCAGGCTGCCCTGTACAGTTATCCTCACACTGCCACCCTGCTCAGTAGGCTGTGCTATCTCCACTATCGGGGCTGGTGAGGGGATCAGAGCTGATATTTGCTCCAGCCTGGTCTGGCAGACTATGTCCCTGCAGTCACCCTAGCTAGCTCCAGGACTGGGAAAAATTGGTCAGGTGAAAAAGGGAATCAATCGACAGGTGTTGCAGCTTTTATACTTTAATACGTTTTTGTCTACTCATCTTTATGCTGAGCGTCTCGCTGTCTGCAAGGGCACGATAGCCCTCTCCATGGTCCCTCCTTGCACTTGTCCCTGCGGAGTCCCTCCTGTGGGCGCTGCTTGGTTGCCGTCTCCTTAGATATTCCTTCCCCTTTTTGTCTTCACTTAAAAATTCTGGGTCTGAATCCTGATATTTAAACTTAGGATCATAAACGAATAAATTAGTATAACTTAAAAGTGGAAAATAGAGTGGAACACCACATCTAAGAAACTAGAGCTGGCATGGTCTCTACAATGCACTTCTCTGAATCAGCTCCCAAAGTAACCCCAAGTCCAAAGGCCCCAAGTAACCCCAAAGCCTCAAGTCCAAAACTCCAAGAAAGAAATATTTGGGGGGATCAGACTGTGGCTGTGAAGGCATTCGACTGTGTGCATCATAACCAACTATGGATAGCACTGAGAAGATAGGAAGTCCAGAGCACTACATCACACTCACGTGCAAACGGTACGTGCATCAAGAGGCAGTCGTGCTAGCAGAGCAAGGGGCTACTGCATGGTTTCAAGTCAAGACTGGTGTGCATCAGGGTTGTAGCTTCTCGCCATATTTATTTAATCTGTACGCTGAGCAAAGAACCCAAGAGCTGGACTATCGGAAGAAGGATGCAGCATCAGGATTGGAGGAAGGTTTATTGATAACAAGATATGCGGATGACACAGTTTTGCTTGCTGAACATTTGAGGAGAACTTGAGGCACTTGCTGATAAAGATCAAGGACTTCAGCCTTCAGGATGGACGGCAACTCAATGTCAAAACAGCCAAAGTCTTTACCACGGGGCCATCATGATAAATGAAAAAAGGACTGAAGTTGTCCATGACTTTTAAAAACAGTTTCATTGGCATATAATTCACATATCATACAATTCAATAATTTAGCCATATTAAAAAGAGTTGTACAGTCATCATCAGCACAGTCCATGTTACAATATTTTCTTTTTTCTTGTGCTCATTGTTTTTAGCTCCAGATTTCCCTCCAACCTCTCCTCCCCCGCCCCCAAGGAACCATGAATCCAGTTACTGTCTCTATAGATTTACCTGTCCTGGATTTCATATGCAGGAAAACATTAAAACAAAAAACTGCCAACAACAATAGCTAAGTAAAGCAGAAGAAACCCAGAGAAGAAAAGAAACAGAAATATTGGAAACCAGAGCAAATTTAAGATGGTCAAAGAGAGATCATCCCTGGACTCTACTCAGGGGATTCAATGGCAGCAGCATCCATGTGTACTTCCCCTTCTCCATTTCTTGTAACTGAAACAACTTTAAAAAGGGTCAAAGGGAGAGCAAATGATATTACATTTTAGCCTAACTGTGTCTGTCATAATTGAGTTTACAATGCTCTCTCTCTGAGAGCAAGACTATTTGCATCCCTTGACGATGGCCATAAGGGATTCACTAGAGGTTTAATCCACGTGTAGATCCTGCGAATGGATTTTGGGCTTCCACTGTCATTTATAGCTATCTGTAAACTGAGCATTCACAATTTAAGCTCTGATAGCAATCCCTCCTTTATCATTGGATTTTATTATTTACAATCCTTCAATCATACAGGCGGGTGTGCGTCTTCCATGTGGACTCCTTGTGGACTTAATTGACGCCTCACTTAGATGGCTGCTTGGTTGCAGACAAGCCTTCAAGACCCCAGATGCTACTTTTGCTGATTGCCAGGCACCATCTAGTTTCTTCCCCATACTTTGCTCTAGCACACATATCTCCAGTGATCTCTTCATGAGGGTGAGCATCAAGCAGAGCTCTGTTATAATAATTAATTGCTCTTAGGTTGTGACTAGAATCAAGTGTGGGCCTACAATCTATTCATCTCTCTATGGCTTATATATGTCTCTAGTTCACTTTGGAGACACCATTATCATTCTATGTGAGAGAACAATATTAATCATCCCTCTTGAGCCATAAGGTAATTCTATTGATAGTGCCATTAGTTTATCCAGTGGTACAGAATTTAAAATGCTGTTGAGAAAAGGAAATATATATATATATATAAAGGAAATATATGTGTAGGTCATTTATGAACTACAATACATGAATTAGTGACTTGTACTGATTAAACCCTTAAGTGACTGGACACTATTTACACAAACAATGGGAGTTGGTGATAGGGCAAAATTTTCAATAACATTCATTCAGGCAGAACTATGCTTACCAAAATAATAAATTGCCTAATAAAACAAGGAGGGCATTTTATCCTATGTGGATCCACAATGCTCATGGAAGCAGAGTCAAGAGATTCAAGGATACGTGACATTGGGTAAACC